CCCTGCTGGCGACGGTGTTTTCGGCGCCTGCTGGGTAGCTGGCGCTGAGGCGGTACTGCTGGAGGCGGAACTGGTCGCGGTCGCGGCGGCGGCCGTCGCGGCTGCGCCGGCGGCGCCAGGCAGTCCAACGCCGGCGGGGTCGTCGACGGTGTGACCATGGCCAAGGAGACGGCTGCCACATCACCGTGAGCTCTGGCTCTACGACGTCGCTCAGGTCAGGAGCGCGCTCGCACGAGACGCTGGGTTCGCCCTGCCGCTGGAAGAAATAGAACAGTACTTGCGATGGCGCAGACCACGGACCATGAGATGACAGAGATATGGCATTGGCCGTCGAAAACTGCTTGGCCATGAAGTCCGATCGCACACTGCGACGCCGCAGAACCAAAATGCGAAGTCGCGCCGCGGGCGTCGTAGTTGCACGCCTGCGTTGCGCGCTCACCGGAATGCCAACGAGGTCCAACACGAAGAAAATTGCGCTCGCCACCTTCTTGGCGACCTTGAATCTCGGAGACTCGTTCTCATAGAAGTCTGGCGGCACGACGATTAAAACCCTTCTGCCCAAGTGAAGAACTCGCCGAAAATATATGGAGCGCCCGGCACCAGCTGCTCAACTAAACTCACGGGGCCGAAGACAAGCTGCAACTCGTCGCGATCAGCCCTGTAGTCCGCGCGCGCACTTCCTTCCATGAACAGCCAAATCCAACCCGCGCGTGGTCGAATATGGCGAGGAAGAACGAGCACCGGATATCCACGCCAGGATACTAACTATAGCTTTGTTCTCCGGCATGTAACTCTCGACGAGATCTGCAGGCCCTCTTCGCCCTGGGTCGTCCTTGGCCCCCTTCACAAGTCAATATTCGAGCCATCCGCCAACTTGGCTGCGTCTGCCGCGGCGCGCTGCCGCGCGCTCGCGCTGTTGTGGGCCCTGGCGATCCTGTCCTCCATGATCGCCACGTCGATGGCGCCCTCGGCGGCCATCCTGAGCCTGGGATAGCAAATGCCGCCGCCAGAAAGGCTCGTCGCCATACAACACTCCTCGACGCACCATTCCTCGGTGACATGCCACCCTTGCTTTTGCGCTGTACTCCACAATCTTATACTGTCGGCACATTGGATTTGAATTCGCAGTTCACACCCTGGCAATGCAGCATAACATTGGCTTCCATCTCGGACGCTGTCGATGGAGAAATGTCCGCATGCCTTGGCAACCAGATCCGAGGCGAGAGCGACTCCTCGGTCCGAAACTAGCAGTCACCACATGGGTCTACAGCAGTCGACCCAATGATTGAAAGCTGCCTGCATCCAGCGATCCGCCGTTGTCCGCTCAAGATTCGAAGCCAGGGCATAACTGATACAGTCAGCAAGAAAGACCGCAAATGTCATGTCACAGATGAACCACAGGACGGCTTGCATGCGAAAATGTAAATGGGGGTTCGTCGAAATTCCGTGCCGAGGTCGCATCGGGCGCCCGCGCCAGCCCGCGCAATCTCTTCACGCCCGCGGCATAACTTGGACCACCAGCGTCAATACTTCGGCGCCGAGACCTCCTCGACGAAGAAATCGAAACGTTTCGTCTCTCGAATTGCGCCAGCACTTGATGCGAAGGAAGAGGATGAGCTTCTGTTTCTCGGCGACGTTGGCGGGAGGATCATCTAGCCTGCCGCGTATCTTTTTGAAGACGAGGTTCGGACCGATGTCTTGCAGCTCGTCCGTATTCGGATCCTCGTTGAGCCCCAGCACTGGCGGGCGCCCTGTCTTTCGTCTCAGGGCAGTCCGATAAAGAGGCCTCCTTTCTGAATATCGGAGACAGCGGTGGCTCAGCAACCTCAACTGGACCAGAAGCCACGGCGGTCGCCTCGTCACCATGCGGGAGAGGCTGATGTCCACCGACGCAGTCTGCTGCGTCTGACACTGGAGCTGGAGGCGCAGGAAATGCTGGGCTCGCAGGCGCTGGCAGCGCTGCCGCTGAGGCCGGCGGCGCGACTGCGCCTGGTAGAAGAACGCCTCCCGGTGGAACCGACGAAGATCTACCTGCCCGAAGCGGGTCGGAGCGACAATCATTGACCGTGGCATGCAGGCCCGCGGCCACAGGCTGCCCATCGTGGCCGATCTTGCGAGCCCCGCATCTGCGCCGCGCGCGCGTCTAGCCCGCGAAGGAAGACTGGTTCTCATCGATCTGCCTCGCGCTCGCGCCAATGTCGCGCTGCACGGCGCCAGTGCCGGCGCGCTCCGCGACGCCCAGAGGCAGGGCTAGGGGAAACAACCTAGGGTACACTGTAGACAAAGCCGCGCGATGCATGAATCCAACTCGACCCTGCAAGGTACCGCGCAACTTGCACCTGGTATCCCCTTTGCAATGCCGCTCTGCATGTCGCAATGTAATGCCTTTCGCGAGGAGCGCCGTGGCCTTCTGCGTCGGCGCGCCGGTCTCCTGGGCCGCGCCGAACTGTTACTGGTCGGCGCGGCGCTTCTTAATCTCGCCAATAAGGCGCTGAGCGCACCCGTGGCGGGGCGAAGACCGACGCTGATCTCGATATTTCCATGGGCGGTGCCTCGTCGCGCCCATGATGCTTGTCCGTCTGTTCTACTACCCATCTAGGAGTCGATCCATCAGCTGCTCGAGCTTTCCCCTCCTCCTCCTCCTCATCCTCCTCCTCCTCCTCCTCTTCCTCCTCCTCCTCCTCCTCCTCCTCCTCCTCCTCCTCCTTCTCCTCCTCCTCCTCCTCCTCCTCCTCCTCCTCCTCCTCCTCCTCCTCCTCCTCTTCCTCCCCCTCCTCCCATCTAGGAGTCGATCGCATCTCGGGAGCTGCGCGGTTCGACTGAACCGACTATGGCGAGCGTCGCGGTGACCAGCGGTGGACTTGAACACCCAACTCCTTCTGGCTCTCATCCAACAGTCGCCGGCGATCGGGCCGCTTCAAGCCTCGCCCATATCGGCGGCCAACTGGGAACGCCACCCCGAGACCAACGACTGCGCCAGCGGACAGCCGGCCCGATCCACTCATTCCTCATTGAAAAGAAAGAGGCCCACCGCGAAGACGTTGTTTGATATGGGCAGCCCACTGCTCCGCACTCTCTGGCGCGATGACCACGCGCCCAATGAAAGTGTAAAATTGCGCAAGCATCGCCCGATACTCGCGAGCCAGTCGCCTGATATCTTGAAGGCGCCGTGACCAGTGATCTCCCTTGTCTGAATAATTGAAACCTTCGGTCATATTCCAAGATTTGAAGAAGTCCTAACCATGGTGCTTCGTCTGCCCGCAAAAAGAGAGCCAGTCGCACGTCGCCGTCCATTGAGCGCTGATGTCCTGAGTATTCGCGGCGGGCATCTCTGAGTGAGAACGCTGGCTGAGGACGGGCAATGACGAGGCCGACAAGGCCGCCAAATGCGGTGCATCTCTGCACCCGCGGCCGTCGGAGGCAGAATTACAGTAGCTGGATTTTCAGATTCCTGTCTCGCAGGCAGTCTGTGCGCTCGCGGCCAAGATCCTCCCTGTGTGGCCGAGAATTGATGTGTCTGTTTGCCCATGGGCCCCTTCCCCCAAAGAGCTTTCGGCCCCAAAGGGGCCAGGTCACGCGTGGGCTTGGGAGCTCATCGGGGATCGTCCTGGGTTCTGGAGGTGCCAGCAATGCTTGCTCTCTCAGAAAAGTCCCAAGTTTCCGCCGCGAGGGGAGTGCCCCAATGTCTCCAAGCTCGATGGGCCGTCCCTGAGGGCTCTGGGGCATCAAGCGGTTTCGTTTTTAGTTTCGGATGGTTCCTTCATTACAGCTTGCCTGAAGTGCCATTCGTATGCTACTATTAGCTATGTAAGAGGGCTGGCTAAAGAATGTAGCAACCCCACGGCCAAGCAGACCTGGTCTTTTAATCAGATATGCAAAGGCATCCATCCGACACGCAAGGGTGTGTCGATAGAGCCTGTGCCGTGGAGGTAGGTGGACATGCGGGCCAACACTGGGGATCCTCCCCATCAGTGGGAGTTCCCCTGGTGGTGGTGCCACGCGTGCGCCTTTTGTCGTCACCCTGCAGTTCATGTCCTCCTCCTCCTCCTCCTCCTCCTCTCCTCCTCCTCCTCCTCCTCCTCCTCCTCCTCCTCCTCCTCCTCCTCCTCCTCCTCCTCCTCCTCCTCCTCCTCCTCCTCCTCCTCCTCCTCCTCCTCCTCCTCCTCCTCCTCCTCCTCCTCCTCCTCCTCCTCCTCCTCCTCCTCCTCCTCCTCCTCCTCCTCCCCCTGACCTTCCATTCCCTGGCTTTCGGATAACTCGGGTCTCTGGGGGCCGTTCGGGACGGATCAGAACCCCCCAGAGCGGAACGCCTTCGACGGAGCGCGGCTGGTGCAGCCACCCCGGGCTTCGGAGATGTTCGAAAGCTCCCGAGAACGTTCGAAAACACCCCCCGAGCCGATCCCCCCCAAGCAGTGCCCCTGACCTTCCGCTCCCTGGCTTTCGGACTATGACTCGGGTCTCTGGCGGGCGCTCGGGACGATCTGGGCATCCCCGGGACGCTCTCGGCGAGGCGCAGCTGCCAGAAGGCATCCCGAGGCTGGAAAACCGCCAGGAACCGACGAGACGTTGCCCCTGAGGTGCCCCCTCCCCAACGTTCGGGGGGAAGTAAAGGTGGCGCAGTGGCAGAGGTGGGGTCAGAGTAAAGTCGCTCCAAACAGCCCGTACAAGAAGGGAATGTGAGCATCCAGCTGGGTATGTTCCCTAACCACACCTTGGGATAACCCCCCCCTCTACTCGGGAGCGGCAAAGAGGGGGGTGTCCAAGAGGGGGGGTGTGCAAATCATGACCGGCGGCATGTGCGCGGCCCAGCGGGGGGCCAGGGACGTAATGAAATAAGAAGCGGCGCCATGAGATCTGGGGAAATATCATGGCCCGCGCCATGATATCCACCCCCCCTAGTCATCACCCCCCTCTTTTGCGCCCCCGATCTACGAACCCCCGAAACGTGGCCCCTGACTCCCCCTCCCCCTTTGCGACCCCCCCCCACCAATCACAGGCGCCTGTGCGTGTCGGCGAGGCGCCACAGCGCCGCCCCGTCCCGAAGCGCCGCGGGCGCCTGCCGTCCCGTGGGGCCGCGGCTGGGACGACGGCCACACGGCCGTCCCGACGATCGCGACGACGACGACGACGACGACGACGACGACGACGACGACGACTCGTCATCGCGGTCCTCCTCCTCCTCCTCCTCCTGCCTCCTTCTCTTCGCCTTCGTCAACGTCCTCCTCCTCCTCTCCTGGTCTTCTTCAGTAGCCTCCTGGTCATCCAAGTCATTATCCTCATCCTCCTCTTGGTCGTCAATATCACCACCACCAGCACCACCATCGTCACAATCAACATCATCGTCATCTTCATCCTCAGCCACGTCATCATCATCATCAGTATCACCACCACCACCACCACCACTACAATCATCATCATCCACCTCATCACCAGGTCGTTATCAGCGCCACAACCACCATCACCGCCACCACAACCACCACCACCACCACCACCATCATCATCATCATCATCATCATCATCACCAGTATCATCACCATAGTCGACATCAACAGCATCCTCATCCTCAGCATCATCCTCATCCTCATCCTCCGCATCATCATCAATGATGATGATGATGATGATGATGCTGATGATGATGATCATGGATTGAGGGCAGGCCATTTTCAAAATGTGGTTCTCGCAATTGCGCCGCGCACATTCGTTTTAAACATGTGCAAGAGCTTCACGGATTGAGGGCGGGTGGTTTTCAAAATGTGGCGCTCGCCTTAGCGCCGCGCACATTCGTTTCAAACATTTGCAAGAGCTTCACGGATTGAGGGCGGGTGGTTTTCAAAATGTGGCGCTCGCCTTAGCGCCGCGCACATTCGTTTTGAATTGCTGCAAGAATTTCACGGAGTCCCATCATCATCGCACCAGACATGTTGTTTGTGAGGATTCCGGAGTACGCGGGCGCAACAGTTATGTTGATTTGCTGGGTTGAAGTCCCAAACATGGACTTGTGGCACAATTCCAGATCGTCAGGACGCAGCAGTCAGGTTGATCCGTGGCGTGGAAATCCCGAGAACAATGTTTCGGCATGCTTCAAGGTCTTCAAACGGTGTCTTCCAACGAGGCAGATCCCTCAATTGGAATGAACCGTTGTAGGGGCCTATCAATAGGGAGCTTAGAGGGAGGGTTCATTCCAACATCGTTAATGACACTTGGGTTTACACTAGTCCTCCTCCTCCTCCTCCGCCTCCTCTTCCTCTCCTCCTCCTCCTCCTCCTCCTCCTCCTCCACCTGCTGCTGCTCCTCCTCCTCCTCCTTCTCCTCCTCCTCCTCCTCCTCTTCCTCCTCCTCCTCTCCCTCCTCCTCTTCCTCCTCCTCGTGTAGAAGACAGAAGCGATGAGGGGGGCGGCTGGCATAGAGGAGCGGGAAAAAAGCATAGCTGCTATTACGCGGTCCGCGGTTGCCGTACTGATAGCCAATACATTCGCCGCACATCATAAGGAGGAAGGTATGGATGCAAGATCCTTGGGCGTCCATATTGCAAATCCTGGGCAAGGGTGACCCTTGGGGGGTGGGCAACTTAGTTGGCGAAGGATGAGCCGAACACCGACAAGGCATGGATGCGCGGAGGGCGCTCCTGGTAACCGAAATCAGTCATAGAATGGGCGGTGACTGTAAGGTCTTAGGGAACACACCTCAACCTTGTGAGTGGCAACTCGCAGATGGCGCATGCCAATAAGCCAAAGGTATGTGTCGTGATGACTCCGAAATCAAACAAGCCCGCTTTAAGTATTATGTTGGACTGTAAACAGAAAGGTGCGCCATCGTATAGAGATCACGTCCCCAAGAAGGATACACCCGTTCACAGTAAAAGACAATTGGAAGATCATTTCCAAAAACCTGCTACCATAGGACAAGCTTCGGAATGTTTAAAAGAAAACGCGGTAGAATATCGCTAAGGAGAGACTGGAGACGTGGGCGACCTGCGGTAACTTGATATGCACATGACACGCGCGTTGCGCTGCGAAAGATGAGGGCGTACATGTCTAGATACTTGTTGGGAACCGTGCCATGCGGTACAGAGATGCTGATAAGAGTCCAGCCACCTGAGAGATGCGGGAGGTGCCCAGCCAGGTTCTCCGCGTCAAAATCTGCGTCGGTCAACTCTTCTGTCATTCAGATGAAACTGAAAGCTTACCCACGATTGAACCGATGGATACGGCAGCCTCTTCAGTACTTGGCCGAACAGGCCACCACGGCTGGTCAAGCTGGCTGGCCCACTCCAGGTCTCGCGAAAGGAACCGATGCTGTCTGAGTACGACGCAAGCGTTATTATGCATGACGCTCTGGAGCGTGAGCGAAACGATGGACTTGCGAATAGCGAGCATGGAGGGTAAGAGGAGGTGCTCATGTCAAGCAATACCGAATGTGAAGGATACGGAGATCTACATGGACGCTACGATGATCGTCTGATTCATTGGACGGCGTGCGTAACGAACTCTCTTCTTCTGGTCTCGACATCTGGACAAATGGCTCGGCCACATGTCAGTACTGATTAGCGGCACGATGACAGATCCCAAAGCCATGTCGCGCAGTGTCATGCCTTTCTTGTGTGGCGGCATGCTGCCACCCATCTCGACTGGCACAGCAAATTGTGCCTGCGTTGTACTGGCTTCGAACGGGTGATCGTGGCGTCTACGCAGAAAACAGGGTGCGCAAGAACTGACCTAGGCGACGAAGCCTACAAACTCAGCGCTGATGAGCGCAGTAAGAACAAAAAGCTATGACTCCTCCTCCTCCTCCTCCTCCTCCTCCTCCTCCTCCTCCTCCTCCTCCGCACCCTCGCCATGCCTGTCCCGCCAGGATGACCCTCCCCCCGTCGCCTGCGGCACGTGCGGGGCCAGCGCCTGTCGGGTGGCGGAAGAGGAGCCCCCCCCCTGGCCCTCACGGGGAGGGACAACGGAGGAGGCACAACGTAACCCGGAAGAGCCGCCATCACCACCGCCGCCGCTAGCGGAGGAGCAAAGAGGATAACGGAGGAGGAGGAACAGCAGCGAGGAGGAGGAGGAGGAGGAGGAGGAGGAGGAGGAGGAGGAGGAGGAGGAGGAGGGGGAGCAAAAGGAGGAGGAGGACGACGACGACGAGGAGTAGCAGCAGCAGCGAGAGTGGAGGAGGGGCCGAGGACGACGAAGGGCTGGCTGGCGGCCACGGCGGGCTGGGAAAGGGGTGCTGCCAGGGGGGCCGCTGCCGGAGGGCAGCCCGGTGGAGAGCCCACCTCGGCGTGACCTCGGTCGGCCCCAGCGCCCAGCCCCCGTCGGAAGCAAATCAGATGGGAGGGATGGTCCCGCCTCCCTGGCCGTCTCGCAGCCAGATGCTGATGAAACGGCCGGGATCGGGGCAGGACCCCCCGCTCAGCTGATTTGCCTCAGGTGGGCCACGCGCGGATGGAGACAGGGAGCTTCACAAGGGGAGCGATCCCGCATGCCTTTCTGCGGCTGTACTGGAGATGGATTCGGGAAAGGAAGAGTGGCAGAAGGAGAAGATGAGGAAGAAGCATGAGTAGCAGATGTAGGAGTCGTAGCGGTAGCAATCACAGTAGCACTGGGTAGCAGCGGCAGCATCAGAAGCGGTAGCAGCGGAGGTGGCAGTTGAAAGTTGAGGGACAGAGAGTTGTGAAACAACATATTATTAAGATGGTACTACGACTCCTGCACCCAAAATTAGCCAAATGACCAACATCGCTGCGCCCATACAGCAAATAAATCAGGATCGACAGCAAGATGCGAAGACGGAGGAGGAATAATGTCAGGGTGATGAGAACGAGCAATACGAGCAGGATGAGAGTGTGAGGCGGAGAAGCTGACTCTGCAAGCGGCCCAGGAGTGCACAGCACAAGAATGCAGAAGCGAAGTGCGAAAGCCGAGAGTAACGTTTGCTCTACACGGCAGTCGTAACACGGCAACCAGCAGAAGCCATGATAGTGCACATCGCAATTTGGGAGGGGCTGGAAGAAGGACGAAAGGCAGGAAGGTAGGAAGCAGGGCAAGGGGAACGGGAAATGGCTAGGACAAGGATACGGCGAAAGAGAAGGAGTAATAGACGCAGGAGGATGGCGAAGAGGGAAAGGATATCAGGAGTAAGTGGAGGAGAGGAAGGGAGACGAAGAAGAGAAAGGAGGGAAGAGGAGAAAGGGGGATGATGAGGAGGAGGAGGAGGAGGAGGAGGAGCAGGCCGTCTCCGCGGCAGGCGCACGCGAGGAACAAGGGGGAGGCTGGGCATGGGGTGGGGGGTGCGAACGGGGGGAGGGATGGGGGGGAGGGCGGGAGAGAGGAAGGGATGGAGGGAGTGAGCGAGTGAGAGGGAGGAGGACTTGTTGTCAACACCGACGACTGACACCATCAAGACTAAACTGTAGTGCACACCGACCTTCTCTCAATCACGCCGACAGCCGTCTCACTCGAGAACTCTGACCCCGTTTGGGCCAACCAGAATCGTGCAACGGTTCTTCGGGCGCAAGCCATTCAGAGGCCTGGTGTTCCACGTGGATTTGTTGGACGGGTCAACTTCAAAGAACAGTGGCTCGAGAGTTTAAACTTCTTGAGTGAACCAACCCCGCAATAAGAAGCAACGTGTGCATATATGGAACCGGTTACCACCACTGCACGGGAGGCGGATGACGACGTGCTCAAGACGCTCCACTTCCCCAAAGTCCCAGCCACTAGAGTCCCCTGGGCAACCATGGAGGAGCGGGCGGAGCTGAGACCGAGAGCCCTTGAAACTGGACTTACAACGCTACTGGGCAGCTGGGAATTCCAAAGCATGTTGCGGTCGGCCACAGCGCCTTTCCATGGACCGACGCGCGGGCGCAACAGCTGATCGAGTCTCGGCCACTCAAGCAGACAAGCGGCAGCAAGCTTGCAAACTGCACCGGGCGATCAAGAGAGAACTGGCTCCTGGCGGCCTCCTCCTGATCATCCTTGGCTCTGGGGCGGGGGCGATTGCCCGCTTTAGCCGCTTCGTCGGCTTGAAAACTCCCCCTCCCCAGAGATCTTATGTCGTGATTTTTTAAATCCGCGGTCCCCAGAAGTCTCGACCCATTCCCCAGGACCGGTTTTTCATCCTGAGTCGTTGTTTGACGGTCCCGAGGCCCGGCGAGGGCCCCTAGGGGCCGAAATTGATGAAAAACCTCCGTCTTGATTTTTTCAATGCGTTGGATCTCTGGGTCCCCCGAACCATGTCGTCAGCGGGCAGGCCCTCCTCGTCGAGCGACAGGCGTGCATCTACCCTCGGCACCGCTCGCACGCGGCGGGCGCCGCGCGGCCCGTGCAGGAGGGAGGGGCCTACCGCAGGGGCTCCGGCAAGGCAACTGCCCACCTGCGGGTCTGCTACGTAGCCCACGCATGCGCCTTTGCACTGTCCACGCACCGGCTGCTCGGGCCGTTGCCGAGCTGATCCGCGCAACCGAAAGCAACGAGTTCGCCAGCCCGAGAAGTGTCTGGGAGAGCGGGCGCACACGGCGCCGAAGCCTCGCCCCAGGAAGCGGTCGCCGCTGTTGTGGACGGCCATCCCCCAAGCCGCCCGCTCCAGTTCTGGCGCCGCGTGACGCGACGCGCTGCAATCCGATGACAACGAACAACCTAATCAGTCGATATCCGTCGGTCTATATGTATATATCCACAAATAGATAAACATCCGCCTTGTAGCTTTGGAGAAAAGGACCACCTGGATGAGCTGGGGTTGGCGCGGTGGGCTGGGCATCGCCTCGAAGGTAGCAACAAATTACTCCGACGGTATGACGCCACATGAGAATCTGTTTAGCTTACCCTGAACCCTTCCCCCGTCGCCCTAGCGGACACCCTCCTCTCGCCCTGAGCTCGGATATCTCCTCCTCCTCCTCCTCCTCGTCCTCCTCCTCCTCCTCCTCCTCCTCCTCCTCCTCCTCCTCCTCCTCCTCCTCCTCCTCCTCTCTCCTCCTCCTTCTATATATCCTTCTCTCCTCCTCCTCCTCCTCCTCCTCCTCCTCCTCCCTCCTCCTCCTCCTCTTCCTCCTCCTCCTCCCCCTCCTCCTCCTCCTCCTCCACCTCCTCCTCATCATGGCCCCCCTTCGACTCCTTCCCCCCCCTCATCCTCCCCCTGCCGCTTCTCTACGCGCACCTCCCCTCCCCCCTGGTCTGGGCAAGCAAGTCGATTTTCCTCGGCGCCGTCGCCGCCTCGGCCAACGCGCGCGCGTTCGCCGACGGCTAGATCGCGAAGCCTTTGGGGCAGCCCCGCGGGCCACGCCTCTGGGGCGACCCCGCGGGCCGCCGGGGCGCGAAGCCAGGCCGCCGGGGCGACCCCGCGAGCCAGACCGTTGGGACAACCCCGCGGGCCTCTAGCCGCGCGCCGCGGCGCTCAGGCGGGGGCCGGCGCGAAGCCAAGCTCCGCGGCGAGCTTCTCGGCCTCACCCCTGAAGTCTTCGCTTTCTCATCGAACTTCTCGAGCGCCTCCCGCAAGGACACCGGCGGCCCGCGCCCCAGAAACTCGCGCGAGGGCGGCCGCGGGATCAGCGCGTTCCGCACGCACGCGGCGCGGGAGGACACGACGTAGAAGCGCAGACACCACTGCTCGCCCGACATGCCCGCGCGGCCAGCGCCCTCGCCCCTCGCGCAGTCGACGGCGACGCCCTCGCGCAGCGTCTGGCCCTGCGACAGCGTGGAGGTCCAGTAGGACGCGCGCGCCAGGGTGAACCCCGAGCGGCGCACAGCGCGCGCCCCCGAGCTCTGCCACGTGAACTCCTGCTCGCCGGGCCCGAACATGAGCGAGTTCCTCGCCCGCGCCTCGGCCTCGCCGTCGTCGTCGGCGCCATCGGCGCCCTGTCGCAGCAGTTCGGCGACCTCCTGGTAGATCGGAGACTCTTTGAAGCCGTGGACCTACAGCCAGATCCCCTGCGGTAGGTAGCGGGGGCGAAAGAGCTGGCCTGGCGCGCACTCCTCGTAGTCGCGCTCGTCGTCTGCGTGAAACTCGAAGGACACGACGGTGGCCCGTTGCTCCTGCAAGAACCCCAACTTCTTCTCCAGCTCCTCCTGCGCGGCCGTGAACCGAACCTCCATGCCGACGCGTGCCGGTCAGACGCCATGGATGTCCTCCGTCTCGTGCATGTTCGGAACATTCAGGGGGCGCCGGCCCGCGCCTGAGTCGCCTCGAATCGCGCCGCACTCGCCCACGGCCTTCAGGAAAACGAGGGGCGCGCCCAGACGCCGCGCGTCGCGACGAGCGCGCGTCTATCCACTTCGCGAGCGTCTCCCAGTAGATGCCCATGGCGTAGCCGACCAGAAAGTTCTCGCGCTGGTGCCGAGGGCCGAGGCCAACGTCCTCTCTCAGGCGGACCAGACCTCCGGCGGGGAAGGCTCGCCCTCGCGCATGCAGCCCAAGAACACGATCAGAGGGCCCCAGGGCTCGAAGCGCTTCGCGCCCTTCAGCTCGAAGACGCAGGGGGGGCCCGATGCTGCCGGCGGGCTTCGGCGGAAGCCGCAGGCAGAAGTCCCTCGCCTGAGACTTTCTCGCAAGTCACTCACAGACGAGGCCCTCGCCTGAGACTTCCTCGATATTCTGGTCCTGGGAGCCCGAAAGCGAAGACAATTACAAGTTTTCGGCTGGCCCGCCTCGGAACCAACACGAAGTGAAGGCCCGAGGGCACCCCGCCGCAGACTTCCTCGCAATGCACTCACAGGCGAAGCCCCCGCTTGATATTTCCTCCGGACTCACGCCTCATCAGCCCCGAAGTGACGACAGTGACACGCGTCGGATGACCCGCCTCGGATTTGAACATGAAGCGCGGGCCCCATAAGGAGGGGCCCCCGCCTGAGACTTCTTCGCAAATCACTCACAGACGAGGCCCCCGCTTGATACTTCTTCCAGGTTCACGCCTCAGGAGCCCAAAAGTGACGACAGGTACAAGTTTCGGATGGCCTGCCTCGGATTCGAACATGAAGTGCGGGCCCCATAGGGAGGGGCTTCCCGCCAGCTCACAGACGAGGCCCCCGCTTGAGACTTCCTCCACGCCCACGCCTCAGGAGCCCAAGAGTGACGACAATTACAGGGTTTGGATGACCCGCTCGGATTCGTAACATGATCTGCGGGCCCCATAGGGAGGGGGCCCCCGCCAGAGACTTCCGCGCAATTCACTCACAGACAAGGCTCTCTCGTGGTCGATGATCATGACGGGACGGTGACGACGATGATGATAACGATGGGATGATGACGAGGGTGCGCGATGATGATACACGGTTGATGATGAGGAGGAGGATGGTCGTGGCGATGATGAGTGATGATGACGATTGCGATGAGGATTATGATGATGATGATGATTGGGCGGGTGAGTGATCGAACGACGACGGTAGCGATAATCAGGACGATGATGATGAGTGATGATGACTGATGACGATGACGGCGACAGAGAGGAAGAGAGAGAGAGAGAGAGCGAGAGCGGAAGCGAGAGTGAGAGAGAGAATAGAAAAGAGAGAGAGAGAGAGAGAAAAAAGAGAGAGAGAGAGAGAGAAAACAAAAAAAAAAAAAAAAAAAAAAAAAAGAGAGAGAGAGAGAAAAACAAATAGAGAGAGAGAGGAGAGAGAGAGAGAGAGAGAGAGAGAGAGAGAGAGAGAGGAGAGAGAGAGAGAGAGAGTGAGAGAGAGAGAGAGAGAGAGAGAGAGAGAGAGAGAGAGAGAGAGAGAGAAGGAGAGAGAGAGAGAGGGAGAGAGAGAGAGAGAGGGGGGGCGGGAGGACTGCGCGGGGTGTCCAGAGAAAACAAGAACCCCACGTAGGATGTGGGGAAAGCCCTGAAAGACTTCATCGGGCAACCGCGCACGGCGCCGCACGTGGGACCCGCCCACGGCGCGCGGTCGACGCCTCTGAGGCGCCCTCGAGGTCTGGTGTCGCGCGCGCGCAGGTCCCCGAAAGGTCGGCCTGCGACGACGCCCCCCTGGGAGGGCGCGGGGCCTGTGCCCCCACCGCGGCTGCAGCCCGGGCACCCGGCCCCTCTTCGAGACGCGCGCCCTCCGCTCCCGGGCGCTCCTTCGCGAGGACGTCGCGCCCCGCCCTCCGCCTGTCCGCGAGAGCGCGCCACGCGGCGCGCCGCCCAGCGTGGCCACGCAGAGCCCCATCAGGCCCCGGGCCAGATGGCCCCACGGGTCGTCCTCGACGTTGAAAACGACCCCGCGGCGCGCTTGCGCGGACATAAGAACAGCTTCTTGGCGACAGCCTGGCCACGTGGCCGCGGGCCAGATGGCCTGGTCGTCCTCGACGTTGAAAACGACCCCGCGGCGCGCTTGCGCGGACATGAAAAACCGCTTCTTGGCGACAGCCTGGCCACGTGGCCGCGCCCTTCTTCTGCTGCCCATTTCGAACCCTGCAACGCGCGTCGTCGTTCGAGCTCGCGTCAGTCTAGCTGCGCCACCCCCCTCCTCTCCAAAGCCTCGGCCACTCTGCCATCGAACGCCTCCCGCGCGCAGTCGCCGGGCAGCGTCGCCTCAGCCTTGCGCGCACTTTTTGTCCGCAAGTTGCGTCGACGGCGCCCCGTTGGTAGAAGGGGGAAACATATATGACCATTCCTCGCCGCGGTGGCCCTCCAACTGTCCTCCACCATCTGATGCGCGGGCGATCCAGACAACAACAATGGCGAGGGTTGGGGCCGAGCTGAGCACGGAACGAATGATAGGGACGAGGATGAAGTGGGTGATGGTGGATGGTGGATCCACAAGCAAATTGGAAAATGTACGAAAGCATGTGGACGGAGGATGGATTTGATGGGTGGTCCCGGGATTATCCAGAGATGCCCCTGGGATGCTCTCCTGGGATGCTCCTGGGGCGCTCCAGGGGGTTCCTGGGATGCAAAAAAGGGCGCTCCGGGGGCAGGGATGTTCTTGGGATGCTGCTGGGATGTTCCTGGGATGCTGGTGGGGTGCTCCGGGAAACTTCCTGGGATGCTCCTGGGGCGGTCCTGCGCATGCGCTACGTGAGGACGCTGCGCAAATGCACGTCGTAAGTGCTCTACACGAAAACAAGACGCACATACACTACGAAAGTGCGATGCGTAAACGCACTACGCAGATACACGACGTATATACACAACGAAAATTCACTACATTAATCCGTAAGTTTACGACGCAAGTACACAATGCAAACACGATGTATATACACGACGTATTGCGTGCTTTCACAAGTGCACCTACAACGTCTACACTACATATCTAGGATCCGATCTCAGTTGTAACATTTTCAAGGGTGGAGGGCGGTTGGTTTTCAAATTGTGGCTCTCGATCTATCGCCGCGCACACTCACCTGTAGGACATTTGCAACCATGCGGCTGGTTTTCAAAATGCGGCTATCGCCCCAGCGCCGCGCGCAGTCGTCTTAAACATGTGCAACAGCTTCAAGAATCGAGGGCGGTTCCTGTTTAAAGTGTGGTTGTCGCCTTAGCGCCGCGCATACTCGCCTCAAACATTTGCAACAGGGTCAAGGTTTAGATGGCTGAAATCCCAGAAATGGTGTTCTGGCACAAATTAGGACTGTCAGCGCGCAACAACCACATTGATTCGCGGCGTACAGGTCCCAGGAATGGCGTTTTTGCAACGATTGTCTTCCAATGGGGCACCTTCCGCAATGAGAACAAATTCTTGCACGAGCCCATGAAGAGGGGACGGGAAGGGAAGGTGTATTGCAACATCGCTGTTGCGTCTTGGGTTTACGCTTGTTTTCCTCCTCCTCCTCCTCCTCGTGTTCCTTTTCCTCCTCCCCTCGTGTTCCTTTTCCTCCTCCTCCTCATCCTCCCCCTCCCTGGGAGCTTGCCAGGACATCCAATAGCCTCCGAAAACATACCAAACAACATTCGAAACCATCCGACAACATACAAAAACTCCCGGGGAACAACCAAACCCCCAAACACACAAAAACCGTGGACGCCGGAAACCGCTGAAAACACGCGAAATCCTCGTGCCGGAAATCGTCCGAAAACCGAAGCCTTCCAAGGAACATCGATGAAGGTGGACTGGAGAGGTCCGAATGGAACGAAGTGGGCTTTCAGAGGGGACCTGCTGGGAGGTCGCGGTGCGCGTCTGCCGTCGCGGGGCCAGGAGAGGCTAGGCGATGGCCGTTGCCCCGGTTGTGCGCCAGCGAGCTCCATGGAAGGCCTCCTGGGGCCGCATGGGAAGGGTCGCGAGGCCTCTTGGAGGCCTTCGGGGCGCTCGTGCGCTCCAGGCGGCAGGGATCGGGCGCCTGCGGCGCGAGGCTCATCACGCCCCCGTTGCCATAGCTGGCGACGCCGCCCGGCGCCTCGCCGCCTGGGCACGGCGCCGCGGGCGGCTCGGGGAGCCCCCTCCGCAAAGAGGGCAAACAAAAACGACTCAGGGTGAAAAGCTAATCCTGCAATGGGCTGAGCGGACTCTGGGGGTCGAGGGAGGGCAGGAAGGTGGAGAGGAGGGCGGACGGGGGGAGGGGAGAGGGGGTAAAGAGGAGGCAAAGAGGAGGATGAGGGGGGGGAGCGAACGACGGCCCCATTTGGAAAAGAAGCTCCACCCATTGTATCCGTGCAGATGGTGCAGATTTCAAGCCAGACGATCGCAGGCTGTGAGGAAGTGCCGGGCGAGGCGACGGGCCCGCCCTGCCAAGACTCTTGGCGGCGCGACAAGGATGAGTGAGTTGCGAGCAAATATCAGGGGGACGTAAGACCTGGGTACAGGGGACTCGGAAATCCCCGACGAGGTCGTCAAAAAAATGACGAGGCCGAGCCTGCATTTTGACGAGGCCTCCCGCTGCAGACATCCCACGAAACTCCTCCTCGTCAAAATCCGAAGCGCGGTCGTCAAAAAACGATGGCGAACCCGAGTCCTGGCAAACCCGGGACTTACGCTCCCCCGAAAATAAGGTGGTGGAGGAGGAAGAGATAGGAGAGGAAGGGGAGGGAGGAGGAGGAGGAGGACCAACGCAAATCAAGCATGCACCGATGATACTGCAACATGCCATCCCGTCCCGAGTCCCCTCGTGGCAGATCCCTACAAGCTAACCTTTCACAGGAAAGAGCGCCTAAAAGACCAGCACCCTGTGGGCTCGCCCTTCGTGAAACAGCCCCGTGCTGGAAAGAAACTGCACTGAATCCCTGAAACCTGTTATGGGGAATGCGAAGATTATGTTATGTTCGCGTTATGGGGAATGTCCAGCGAAAGCCCTGTTCTGAAAGGAAGCCGCCCCCCTCCGTACAACTGCAGGGCGCAACGGGGGGAATTTTTCAACGACAGCCCAATGTTGAAAATGAACCGCCATCCGCCCGTGCAACTTTCTTGGGGATTCTCACTTCGTTTCTAAAGAGCTGGGCATGTTTGCTGCTCTGGTGGTTATGCAGTCGCCGTCGCCGCCCCGTCGCCGCCTCGTTGCCACCCGTCGTCTGGGCCGGTCTACTGTTGTGGCGGCTTTGTAGCGCCGCCCCGTCGCCGCCCATCGTCTGGGCCTGTCTGCCGATCTGGCGGCTATGTCGTCGTCGTCGCCGCCCAGTCGCCGCCTATATTGGACAACATAGGTTCTCTTTCTCGACCATCACCCCGACGCCAGAATGGCCCGTTCCCCGTGGGGATGTGCAAGTTACATACGGTTCTGCCCCATGGCTCATTGAAAATATGGACTCATACCATCCCAGCTAGGCCTGGTTCCCCCCCAACATCATCGTCGAGTAACACTATGCGCGCGCACTCGTTTATCAAAAAACATTCATCTGCAATAACCATTTGCTAGAAACGGGACGACATGCGCACGCACGCGTCGTCGCGCGCATGCCGATTTTTGTTCAACAAATTTTAGTTGTCGTAAAACTTTCAAACTCGATTGTCCCGCATACATAAAAACACACATGACGTTACATCATGTTGTTTCAACAGAGTACGCGCGCGCTCTGTTAAATTCTGTTGAAAGCCATTGGTGTTTCATCATGATCATCAGATGCAAACCAACGGGCTTCTCGCGCGCGCGAATGTCGACATCATTCGCACGCCCTTGCGCGCGTGCTGGCCTCACACATTCTGCACCGTGCCGCTGGGCACAGAGTGGGCGTGTCCTCAGATCCTCACTCCTAAGGACTCGTAAAATGGGGCTGGACCCCACATATCCCCACATTCTCAAATCTCCTGGGGTTTCCCGAAATTCCCCTGAGTTTCGGCGCATCTTCTCGCATGATTTTTCTTGAGGCCCGAGAAGACCCCCCCCCGACGACTTGGAAAAAATATCCTGGCGAGGGACCCAACCATGTGCAGTTGTGAGTGACGCAGTTGTGGGTATCAACCTCGGTGAACCTCTCTGCGGTCACGACGCGTGTGACGGGTGTGCCAAAATTGGCACGGGTACGCCATGCGGACGCTGCCACCAGAGCCGTCGGTGGAGCACCCTATGGGGCCGCGGAACGTGCAAGGGGCGCTCCGAAATGGGGGGTGGAACTGCATGCGGACCCTGCCACTGGGGCCTTCGGCGGAGCACCCTATCGGGCCACGAAACTTGTGAGGGGTGCGCCGAAATGGGGGGGTGGAACCGCATGCGAACCCTGCCACTGGGGCCTCGGGTGGAGCACCCTGTGGGGCCACGAAACGTTTGAGGTGTGCGCCGCAATAGAGGTGGAACCGCATGCGGGCGCTGCCGCTGGGGCCTTCGATGGAGCACCCGATGGGGCCACGAAACGTTCGAGAGGGGTGCGCCAAAATTGATGTGGAACTGCATGCGGACCCTGCCACTGGGGCCTTCGGCGGAGCACCCTATGGGGCCACGAAACGTGTGAGGGGTGTGCCGAAATGGGGGTGGAACTGCATGCGGACCTTGCCACTGGGGCCTTCGGCGGAGCACCCTATAGGGCCACGAAACGTGTGAGGGGTGCGCCGAAATGGAGGTGGAGCTGCATGCGGACCCTGCCACTGGGGCCTGGGTGGAGCACCCTATGGGGGCCACGAAACGTGTGAGGGGTGCGCCGAAATGGAGGTGGAACTGCATGCGGACCCTGCCACTGGGGCCTTCGGCGGAGCACCCTATAGGGCCACGAAACGTGTGAGGGGTGCGCCAAAATGGAGGTGGAACTGCATGCGGACCCTGCCACTGGGGCTTTCGGCGGAGCACCCTGTGGGGCCACGAAACGTGTGAGAGGCGCGCCGAAGTGGAAGTGGAACTGCATGCGGACCCTGCCACTGGGGCCTCGGGTGGAGCACCCTATGGGGCCGCGAAACGTGTGAGGGGTGTGCCGAAATGGGGGTGGAAGTGCATGCGGACCCTGCCACAGGGGGCCTTCGGTGAAGCACCATATAGGGCCACGAAACGTGTGAGGGGTGCGCCGGGAAGGAGGTGCACTGGACCCTGGGGGCCGGAGCACCCTATGGCGTGTGAGGGGTGCGCCGAAATGGAGGTGGAACTGCATGCGGACCCTACCACTGGGGCCTTCGACGGAGCACCCCATGGGGCCACGAAACGTCCGAAGGGTGCGTCGAAATGGGGGTGGAACTGCATGCAGACCCTGCAACTGGGGCCTTCGGCGGAGCACCCTATGGGGGCCACGAAACGTGTGAGGGGTGCGCCAAAATGGAGGTGGAACTGCATGCGGACCCTGCCTCTGGGGCCTTCGGCGGAGCACCCTATAGGGCCACGAAACGTGTGAGGGGTGCGCCGAAATGGAGGTGGAACTGTATGCGGACCCTGCCACTGGGGCCTTCGGTGGAGCACCCCATGGGCCACGAAACGTGTGAGGGGTGCGCCGAAATGGAGGTGGAACTGCATGCGGACCCTGCCACTAGGGCCTGGGTGGAGCACCCTATGGGGGCCACGAAACGTGTGAGGGATGCGCCGAAATGGAGGTGGAACTGCATGCGGACCCTACCACTGGGGCCTTCGGCAGAGCACCCCATGGGGCCACGAAACGCTGTACTAGGTGGGTGAAACGCACGGCGGAGGGAGAAGGGGGAGGAGGGAGGGGGCAGCGGGAGGTGGGAACGCGGGGCGCTGTCTCTTCAAAACGAAGACCCAACACCACAGGATGGTTCGGAAAAACAGAGACTCAAAATGCGCTACCGGCCCTGCCGGCCCCATTGGCCCTACCGGCCCCACCGGCCCTACCGGCCCTACCGGCCCTACCGGCCCCACCGGCCCTACCGGCCCTACCGGCCCAGATAGCGCTAAGTACTTGCAAATACTTAGCAAGTAGATCGCAAGTGGCTCAGCAAGTGTTCAGCGAAGCGGGGCTAAGTGGTTGCAAACACATAGCAAGTATTAAAGTTAAGCGGCCCAACATACACTTTGTGGCCAATTGTGTAGTCTGATGCTCAACATAAAAATAAGATGTTGCACCGAAAACGCATTCATGCTGAACGGAAACAAAATCTGAATCATGTTGAACCAGATATGTTGATATACGTAGATCGCCCTTCGTGTTGTTCCTGTCTGTCTTGTATATTGATACATTGATATACATATGTATAAATACATGTATGTGTATATATATATATATGCGCATATATATATACACATAAATATGTATATATGTATATTAACACGATTGAGCACCTAGATATATCAAGAAATCTGGTCAAACATGATCAAAAGTTTGTTTGTGGGTTCAACATGACTGTGTTATCGGGGTTATCGGCCCAGGTTCCCGGCCCTCGGCCAATAGGTTCTCGGCCCTCGGCCCATAAATTCTCGGCCGATATACAGGTCCATATATATATATATATACATGTATCCCGTCATAGGTATCCCGCAATTCATGTGGGGTGTTGTATTTGGATACTTGCGTTTCTTTGTGTTCCCATTGGGTTTCCTACGGGGGTCCCTGCGGGTTTCCCGATTGGGTGCCCCAGCCCGAGGCATACGGGTTAGGGTTCAGGGCTCAGGGGTCAGGGCTTAGGGCTTAGGGATTAGGGTTCCAGGTTCTGGGTTCCGGCCTCACGGCGTACAGTTCGAAGCTTGGCCAGGGCTGAGGTGGTCAGGGCTCAGGGCTCAAGGCTTCGCTTTCAGGGTTTTGGATTTAGGTTTCCGGGGTTAGGGGTTAGGGCTCGGGGCTTTGGGCTTAGGGTCCGGGCTTAGGGCTTATGGTTCAGGGCTCAAACGTAAGGTTCAGCGTTCAAAGCTTAGGGCCTAGGGTTCAGGGCTCAGAACTTAGGATTCAGGGCTTAGGTGTTAAGGCTTAGGGTCCAGCGCATATAGGGGGACCACTGACCCCTGAGCCCTGAACCCTAACCCGTATGCCTCTTGGGGGTCCCCAATCCAGAAGCCAAAATCCCTCACCGACACACGGACACCATCACCAGCGTGATCAACATCGGTACCGTCATCGGCCTTGACGTGGTCATCGTCGCCACCAGCATCGCTACTATCATCATCGTGTTTGCCTTTGTCGCCGTCGCCATGGTACCGCGGCCGCCCGAGCCACCGACTTGCATTGAAGTGCCCGCGCGCCAGCGGGGCCTGCGAGACGCATTGGGCAGTGCCTAGCGGTCAGCGCAAAAGCGGCCGCGTCCGCTGCGCCAGACTAGCTGGCCGCTCTAAGCGCGAGTCTGCGCGCGCTAGCGCGGCCGCAGCGATACACCAGCCAGCACCAAGCAGTCATCGCAATCGCCGCCGCAAGGGTTGTGCGAACCAAGTAGACTACAATATATGTGTTTCACTACATAATGTTCACCACATGGTACGCACAACATACATTGCGACACGTCGGTGGCACAAAGTACATTGCACCAAATAAAGGACAACCGAGACTATACACCATGCATTGCGCCATATTGGTTACGCCATGCAACATAGGTTGCGCCGCATAGATTATACGACCTTGATTGCACACCATATGTTGCAACATGTGTATATAAACATACATACATATCTATATATAGTGTGTATATATATATATCGCACCAGAAAGATTGCACAACCCAGACAGCACTGCACAGTTTGCACCACGTCGGCTGCTAGAACTAAAAGCACACATTTGGGGACCCACGCGGGCTACAGATTCAAAACGTTGCTCATTTAATGTAGAAAGTGCCTAGTCGGGAGCCCCGTTCTGAGAAGGAACCACCCTTCATCCGTGAAGTTGTTGCGTGGCTCTTCTACTGGAATTACAATTCGAAAGCCCAATTTTGAGAACGACTCGTCCTCCATTCGATTACTTGTTGCACATGTTTCCGCTTGTTGAAATCTGTTCCCACGGCAGTATCTGGCGAAACCCCCAGGTTGAAAAGGAAACGCTCTCCGTTCCTAAAGCCAACGTGCACGGCAGTATAGGGGAATGTCAACTGTTGAAAAGGAACCGCCCTCCATTCCTGAAAGTGTTGCAATTTTCGGAAGCGAATGCGCCAGATGTTCAAGCAAAAGCTCCACTTTGAAAGCGGCCCACCCTCAATCGCATCAATCGCTGCAACTGTTGCCAGCTCTTACAGCGAGCGCGCACGGCGCTAAAGGCGGGAACTTCATTCTGAGAACGACCCGCCCGCCCCCCATCCGCGCACATGCAACAGATTCCGAGCTCCACGACCAGAAGCTGTGAAGAAAAATAGCACGAAGGGCCCAGCCTGCCCTACCAACACGCCTGGCGTTCGCACGAGGTGGCTGGCTGGCTGGCTGGCGACCCTGCACATGACCAAGTCTGAACTATCAACACGAGAGGGCGGCCGCAGGGCGCGTGAGAGCAGTGTGTTCCCATCTGCGCCACACACTCGAGGAAATTCCCTGCCCGACAATCGAGCCCGGATCGACCCGATCGCTGCACAACGCCGAGAAACCTGCAGCGGGAGGAGGAGGAGAAGAGCGAGCCGGGGGTGAGGAGGCCCATGCCGCGGGCGTGCTCCGAGCACCGCCCCGTCGGGCCACTGCAGTACCCGTCGGCGTGCTCGAGGAACCACTCCTGGCGGGCGCGCGAGCGCGCACGAGGCGGGAGAGGCCCTCTCCGAGAGCGGCGGCCGCCGCCAGCGAGCTCCATCGCCACCGCCGCCATCGCCATCGTCGTCCTTCCCACTCACCCTCCATTCTACCTCACCCTCGTCCCTCTTCATCATCTGCCTCATCATCCTCCTCACCATCATCACCATCCTCCTCACCCGTCATCGTCCCTCCTCCTCATCATCCTCCTCATCATCGTCCCTCCTCCTCAGCATCCTCCTCACCCTAATTATCCTCATCGTTACCACCACCAGCACCGTGCTCCGCCTCCCTCCAGCATCCTCCTCCTCCTCCTCCTCTTCCTCCTTCTCATCCTCCTCCTATTCCTCCTGATGCTGCTACTATTTCTACTGCTAATTCCTACTCCCGCTCATCCTCCGTCATCCTTGTCCTTCCCCTCCTCAATGTCCTTCCTCATACCCATTATCATATGTTTCCTCCTCCTTCTCATATTCCTTTTCGTGCTACTGTTCATCACTATCTTCATCATCGTCATCATCATCATCATCATCATCATCATCATCATCATCATCATCATCATCATCATCATCATCATCATCATCATCATCATCATCGTCGTTTTCGTAATCGCTGTCGTCTTCAACAGTACCATCGTCGTCACCGACACGATGGGTCCCGCTTGTCTCCAAATAGGCTTGCCCTATAGGAGTCCTAGCTCATCATACGCAATTGGTCTTTAGCCCCCCCCCCTGTTTTTCCAATGGCAACCCCCCTTATTTCCAATGGCACCCCCCTCCCCCCCTCCCGCCAAAGGCACCCGCCCTTATTTTCAATGGCAACCTCCAGCTATTTCCAATGGCGAGTCCTATGGACTCCTATGGATTCCTGAGTCGCTTGCCCTTGCTCGTGTTTTTGCTTGCTTGCTCTTGCGTGCTTGCTATCGCTTGCTTGCTCTTGATTGCCCTTGTTTGCTTGCACTTGATCGCTGGCTCTTGCTTGCTTGTTATTGCTCGTTTGCGCTTGCTTGCTTCCGCTTGCTTGCTTGCGCTTGCTTCATTTTGCTCCTCCCGTCCTGCTCCCGTCCTCCTTTCGTCCTCCTCCCATCCTCCTCTCGTCCTCCTCTCGTCCTCCTATCCATTTGGAGTCAACGCTGGCTGATAGTTTAAGATCAAAAACAACAAATCGGAGTTACAATAGTTTCCGATGCCCAAGAATCTGATGTGGCCCCCAGAGGGCCTCAAAAGCAAAAATAATTTCCCAATAATGCTTGCGTGGTCTTCACGGTCTCGGCTCTCTGGCGTCTGCACGCTCAAGACGGCCCAAAAGGCCCCCCAGACTAGCCCAAACCGGCCCAAGAGACCGTTACAACGGCCTGGAGACGGCCAAGGACGGCCCCAAGACGGCCCAAGAGGCCCCCAAGACGGCAAACGAAAACCTCAATGTGGCCCCAAGGGAGGCAAAGGCCCTGGGAGCGGCGGGGTCAAATCACAACCGGACGGTCCAGATCCCAACCGGACGGTCCAGATCCCAGCCAGTAAGAAACCTGGAACTGTCCAGATCCCAATACCCGACAAAATTAGGTAAAGCTTTGTTACTGCATGGCCGCCTTGGCAGTGAAAACCGAACGGTATCCCTCAAAAGATCCATCTCGGTTTTCATAGCGCGCAAATGGGATCAAAACCGCTTGACTGCGTCATTGCATGCGAGTTCGAAGTACTCCAGGAGGGCCCTATATAATCCCAAGGCACTCCAAGACGGCAGTGTATACGAACGTATACGAAACATCTACGAAAACTGACGAGAAAAAAAAACGCATGGGGCACGCATCCGAAAGTTAGCAGAAACGCATACGGCACAGATGCCTAACGTACACGGAACGTGTACTCAATGTCTATGACACGTAAACGCCTTGTCTCTGAAAAACATCCGAAACGGCTACGGAACGTACATGGGACTTGCGTGTATATGGCACGTAAATGGAACAACGTATACGACACGTAAATGGCACGCATATGAAGCATATGTACGAAGCGTATACAAATCGCGCACGAGACGTACATGAGGCGTGTATGGCAAAGCTACACAACCGCACAGGAAAGGCAACCGACACGTACTTATCAAACGTAATTGGCACTTACATGAAACATATAAGAGCGCATACGCAACGTATACGGAACGTAAATGCAACGCATGTGAAAAAAAAAATGGAATGCAACGAGAAAATGATAACGGAATCCTTGGTTGGCGACCTACCATTTACAAGGAGAGGGAGGAAGGGCCGTCTAAATAAGATTCAGCATCTACCACCCTTCCCCCCCCCCCAATGGACTTATCGATGCACCCTGTGGATGTGCATTATACATCTGATTCTGCCCCATCGCTCATTCTGAACATGAATTGATCCCATCCCAGCCGAGCCTGGTTTGACTCACCCCACCCCCACCCCCCGACCATCACGCGCGCGTCGTGGCGCGCGCATGCCGAAATCTTTCCAAAACCCTAGGCGCCTTAAGAATTTCAAAATCGAGTGTCCCGAACATATATTTCAACAAAAACGCATCGATGTGCAACATGATGCTTCAAACAAGTATTGGCTGGGGGCGTACCCAACCCTTTCTAAATACGTGGCGGCTATATCCAGGACCGCGCAATAAAAACGAACGTATTGAAGAAGCCGCAGTGTTAGCGCGCAAAAGCAACGATAAGCAAAATCAGAAGAGCGCGGCAACGAAAGTAACAACAAACATCGGCGGCGAGCGAGGGGGGGAAGTGAGAAGGGGCGGGCCTTCTGAGAAGGCTCGGGTGCCCCCACGCCGTAAGCACCCAAAAGTGAAGACAAAAGGGCGCGGCTGCGAGAACAAAGAGAAGCCCCAACAACTGGAGGCAAAAAGGCACGGCAGCGAGGTTAACAATCAGACCCAAAAGTGGAGACAAAAGGGCGCGGCAGCGACAGCACCGAGAAGCCCGAAGAAGTGGAGACAAAATGGCGCGGCAGCGTGGGTAACCAGAAGCACCCGAAAGTAAGGACAAAAGGGCGCGGCGGCCAAAATAGGAAAGGAAATGAGGCGGCGGCGGGGGTAACCAGAAGTACGCAGAATGGAAAGAAAGTGACGGAAACAGAGGTATGCGGACTACCGACGCCGCTGGACTTCCCAGGAGCCCACGAACGCAGCGACAGTGGCGCAGTCCGCAGCATCTCCGGGGAGCCGCGGGGTCTCCACGGGATCTGCGTGACTGCCGACGCCGCTGGACCTCCCAGGAGCCCACGAACGTGGCAACAATGCCGCAGATTTCAGTCCTCCCCCCGGGGAGACGCGAAGCCTCGACGGGATCTGCGTGACTGTCGAACCCGCGGGACCTTCCAGGAGCCCACGAATGCAGCGACAATGGCGCGCTTCGCAGCCCCTGCAGGGAGCCGCGAGGTCTCGACGGGATCTGCGTGACTGCCGACTCCGCTGGGCCTCCCAAGGAGCCCACGAACGCAGCGACAATTGCGCAACTTTCCGTCCGCCCAGGGAGCCGCGAGGTCTCGATGGGATCTGCGTGACTGCCGACTCCGCTGGACCTCACAGGAGCCCACGAAGTGGCAACAGTGGCGCACTTCGCAGCCCCCAAGGGAGCCGCGAGGTCTCGACGGGATCTGCGTGACTGCCGACTCCGCGGGACCTCTCAGAAGGCCACGAAAGTGGCGACAGTGGCGCAGTCCGCAGCCCCCCATGAAGCCTCGAGGTCTCGGCTGGATCTGCGTGACTACCGACTCTGCGGGACCTCCCAGAAAAACACGAAACTGGCGACAGTGGCGCAATTGGTAGCCCCCCAGGAAGCCGCGAGGTCTCGACGGGATCTGCGTGACTACCGATTCTGCTGGACCCCCCAGGAGCCCACGAAAGCGGCGACAATGGCGCATGTTTCAGTCTCCCCAGGGAGCCGCGAGGCCTCAACGGGATCTGCGTGACTGCCCACTTCGCTGGACATCCCAGGAGCCCACAAACGTGGCAACAATTGCGTAGTTTTCAGTCCCCCGAGGCAACCACGAGGTCTCGACGGGATCTACGTGACTGCCGACTCCGCTGGACCTTCGTCGTCGTCGTTGTCGTCGCCGTCTTCGTCGTCGTCGTCGCCGTCGTCGTCGTTGCCGTCGTCCTCGTGCTCCTCATCGTCGTCGTCGTCGTGCACGTGGTCGTCGTCGTCGTCGTCGTCGCCGTCGTGGCCGTCGTCGTCCTCGTGCTCGCCGTCGTCGTCGTCGTGCTCGTCGTAACCGTCGTCACTGTCGTCGTCGTCGTCGTCGTCGTTGTCGTCGTCGTCGTCGTCGTCGTCACCGTCGTTGTCGTCGTCGTCGTCGCCGTCGTCGTCGTCGTCGTCGTCTCTGCTGTCGTCGTCGTCGCCATCGTCGCCGTCGTCACCGTCCCCACCATCGTCGTGGTCGTCGTCCCGCTCGAAGTCGTCATCGTCGTGGTCGTCGTCGTCGCCGCCGTCGTAGTCGTCGTCGTCGCCGTGCTCGACGTCGTCGCCGTCGCCGTCGTCGTCGTCGTCGTCTTCGTTGTCGTTGTCGTCGTCGCCGTCGTCATCGTCGACGTCGCCGTCGTCGCCGTCGTCGTCGTCGTCGGAGGTGCGTGCTGACCAGAATCTCAGAAGAGAATCCAGCCGAGACGGCGAGGGAGGGATATCGGTATCTCTTCCTCCTCTGACCTCCTTCCCTCCCCTGTCGCTGACCCTGACGTAGCTTTCACGTCCTGGCCCTGCTCTCCAGAGGCCGCTCGGGACGGTCATGGCGCTCCAGGAGCGCACGCG